TATGAATCGAACTTGAGCTAGTCAGAGCAAAAAGTAATCAAGCTACATAGCCAGTTTCTGGCGGAAAGAGAAAATTCAGCGCCAGCTGGCAAACGCAAAGCCCAATGGACATCCACATTGACCTCGGGCCAATGTAGTCTTCTGGCATTGCTAACTCCATGAGAACCATTCAGGAATAGGTATCCGTTTGTTTATAGGGAACTTTCTGTTTGGTCAAGATTAAGACAGGTTAATAGATATATAAATCTCTTAAGAAAGTTCACTTTAATTTAGTAGAACAGGTTCGACCTCTATGTTCCTTGCTATGTCCGTAGATGTTTTTTAAAAGCAATGGGGTATACAGGTATGAACAAGTACAGCAAGCTGTGGCAGAATGTTACCGATACTCGATGCAACATAGACAGGGTTTGCCAGACCAGGCAGGTTCACAAGCGCAGACGAGTCCCTTGAAGAACTGATCCTTCGAAGTCAAAATCGGTATTTCACTTTCCCCTCTTATCTCTTGGCATGTACAAGTCAGTTTCTTGGTTCATCAACGTAGTTACGCGGCTTTTCGGACAAGAACAACTGGTGGGTGGGGTTCATCTCCAAGATACTGTTTGACACGAAAACTAAAAAGTACATACATAATATTAGCAGACTCCCGCGTCCCTGACTAGCGTAAATTGATGTAGGTCTTCTGAGGAGATATTAGCTGAATGAAAGTTGTACAGAGAAATGTTGTCAGCTCCATCATGGCAAAGAAAGTAACGGTTGTGGGGCCATTGTCATATTCCGTGGGCTTTATCATAGACCAGGTGGTGAATTGCAACGGTGACAAGTATATCTGTTCCTCCTGGCAGGTGTGGGGGCTATGAGTCTGAACACATACTGAGCAACGAACAAACAATTTTAGCACCTCATATATAGACAGATGGATAGATAACGTATTTCACTAGCGGGATGGCCACACAAGCGGGATAGCCACCCCACGCATTTTGACCACGGTGGAAAACCTCACCCACTTCAACTACCAATCATGCCTCCAAAAGCGCGTCAAAATTCAAGAAATCTAGTTGAGTAAAAGGAAAGAATTCTGCTTGCTATATCTGCTTTAAAAAATCAAGAAATCAATAGTATTCGCGAAGCAGTATATATTTTTAATATCTCTTACTCAACTTTATAAATCCGACTATATAGTATACTAATATATCTCGAAACACGTACCAATAACTATAAGTTATCTCAAAATAAAGAGAAATTACTTGTACAATAAATTCTATTACTAAATCAATATAGAGTATCTCCTAAACTATTAGATATATAAGAATTTAAGAAATAGCTAATATTCTTCTTACTGACCACGGTACTATATCTATTCAGTCAGTCGGAGTAAACTGAGTTATTAACTTTGTTAAATACTGTTCTGAAGTAAAATCTTACTTTTCTCGACAATATAATTATTGACACGCTAAATATAAAGATTCTAAGATTATTAAAGAGTAGTTTAACCGTGTACAAATTACTATAATACAGTATAGAATTGTATTAGAAGATATCTATAATTTCGACAAGACTAGTTTTACTATAGGCCTAGTAGCTACTACTCGAGTAATTACTAGAGCTGATTACTATAAAAAAGTATGTCTTGTACAGCCAGACAATCGGAAATAGATTACTTCGATTAAATATATTAATTCTACTAGTTAGGTACTTTCTCTGTATATTATCTTTAAAGGAAAGGTCTATATGGAGGACTAGTATCAAAATCCAAAACTTCTATTAGATAGTAGAATTGAAGTTAGTTCTAATAAATAGACTACTAATAAGATAGATCTTCGTTGGCTTAAAAATCTCTTTATTCCTACTACTACTAGTTATATAACTGGGAAATACTGCCTTTTAATTATAGACAGCTATGGGCCTATGGCAGCTATCTTATATCTCAATTTAATCAGATATACAGTGAGAATAATATTATTTCTATTTATATATCTGTATATTCTTCCAACAAGCTACAGTCTTTAGATATAGGCTGTTTTCGGTCTCTAAAGGGTGTGTGCAGCAATTTAGTAAAGCAGAAAATAAATTTAGGAGTCAGCTATATTGACAAGCTTAATTTTCTATAGATTTTTCCAGAGACTCGCAAAAGTGTATTTACAATAGAGAATATTCAGAATAGCTTTACAGACACTGGCCTAGTTCTATTCAATCTAGATAGAATACTAAGTAAATTAAATATCTAACTGAAAACCTCTATACTACCAGATAGTCAGTCAACCAATTCTGTATCTAAAACACCCTATACTACTAGGCAGTTAGAGAAGCAGATATCTATAGCAAAGAAGCTACTTAAAGAATATACTCAAAGTTCTTTTCCTTTACTAGAAGTACAATTAGACAAGATTATTAAAGATTATAAATTAACTCTTAATAAGCTTATTCTTATAAAGAAAGAAATACACAAGTATTATACTAATAATAAATAGAAAAGCCAAAAGCAGAAGAGATCTACTAGATAGCTAGCTATAGAAGAAGGTGTATCTCTCCAGAAGAGCCTAGAGCGATTTCAGTATAAAAATAAGATATAGGCAGCTTAGAATACTATCCCTATAGATCCAGTGCTTTCTGTAGTAAGGCCGCGTATACGAGTACCACTATAGTGTTCTAATTATCATATTCGAGGATATACTAGAGCTAGATATCCTAAACCACTTAGTAATTAATTTATATATAGAAATACAGCTGTTTTGGTGAAAAAGGCTCTAGTAATTGGCCCGCAGACGGAAATCGGTGGCGGGTGGCTATCCCGCTTGTGTGGCCATCCCGCTAGTGAAATACGTTAACAGAACAATAGTGTGACATAATCAACTACTGTCTTGCTGCCAGATCATGTGGTATAAGTATTAATCAGAGGTATGAAGGTAGGATATGCAATATAATCCATAAAGTCTTTAGGTACATTTCGCGGCGTGAAGTGTTTGGGGAAATCTAAGACAGAACATTTCCCGAGACCCAATCGCATGGTCAAATAAAGAAAAACAAAATATTCCAATATCAAAGATATTTTACAATGGAAGCCAGCTCAATTCCACCCTGGTGCAATACCAGATGCTAGAGATAGGGAAGCCTCTCCCCCCTCGCTGTTATCGGTACACACCCACCGGCAGAGGATCCTGCAAGCTCATGAAAGCCATTCTAGCGGCATTAACTGTTTCTGAAACAGTCGAATCTCGTAATACAAACAAGCCCAGCATAGACAGTAGCTTGGTTTACATTCATCCGTGGAGCGGAGGATGTCGGAGAAGCTGAAGAAGGGGAAGTGAGAATAATGTTTGGGGGTAGATTACTCCCAGGGGGTAAGTATAGTGTCCAACAAAAGCCTTCCCTCTCCCCATGTTTAGCCTGCCTTCGTAGCAGGGCGTTTCTTGTAGCTGCTTAGTAAAGGGAGTTGTTGGCGATACGACTCCGTATAATGTAAGGTAGTTGAACAGCTGAAGCGACAGCTCAATATAACCATACCTATCAAGTTAGCAGGGCGCACCTTCGTCTCGTCCTTATTAATACAGGGCGATATGAGGATACGACTGAGACAGCTATAGATGGATGCCCTTCGCCTAATGTGTACTATTTGGAGGGTAACGGGCGGCTGATAATAGATAATATTCATCCTGAGTGGGCAGGTAGCGGGTGATGGGGGCACCTTAAACGTTAGCATGGAACGATAAGCACAGAGCAGGCAATTTGGTTGGACAGAGAGAGTAATCCGGAGTTATTGGTTTAGCAGGTGCCGTCTTAGTAGGTACGGAGTACATGGAGCGGGAGTACTACTAGTAAGGTATGTCTAGTAGTAGGTAGGACGTACCGAGTAGGTACAATGTACTCCCGTCAGTACATACTACATACCAGGCACCTCGCACCACTTGGCGAACAACCCGTGAAAGTAAACCTGATTCCTAGGTGGAGTAGAGGCCGAAAGGGGCTGGTTTCAGGTAGATTTATTGGCTAAAAGTAGAGCGGGTTCCTGACGCTAAAAGATCTTGGCACCCCCACTTTGTCCAAATTTTTTACTCAGGGGATCGAGATACTTAGCACCTCGGTGTTCAATACCAACGCATGGAGCGATGTAGATACATCTGTTCTCCAGGTACACCATATATACCGGATAACATTTAAAACTGACATTGGCAGCGAATTAGCCTCTAGAGGCAAGTATATAACCGCAGCAAAACACAATCGGGAGACGGGACTCAGTTCTATTAAGGGGCTTGAGCTATACGCTCTTGCCCTATGGCTCTTGACTCCGCTTTTCCTTACTTGACTGACGATGGCCCGGGCCACTATGATTCAGGGGAACCCCATCAGATGGATGTACTGTAGTGGTACGGAGTGGTATTAGCCCCATTTGCACTCAGATCCTGTACCTTTTAGTAGGGCACTACCATTCTACATAGTGCGATGGGGCTTAGCCTGACTTAGACTTACGGAGTAGTACCTAGTTCAGTACCTACTGTACAGTAGGTGGGGGAAGACACTATTGGGGCGTATCATCGAAAGGAACAAGTGACGAATGGTACTGTACTGTCACTTGGAGGATAGGTACAGAACGAAACAGGCCGGCCATCTAGACCGCTGCTAACTATTCTTACGCTCACCCTCTCTTTCTTTTCCCCCCTTCTTGTTCTCTTGCTCTTTTCCCCTGCTTCTCCTTCTTCTTTTCTTCTCTTCTTCTTCCTCGACTTGTTGTTTTCCTTTCCTCACTTCTTCGCTCCTTGTTGTTATTTTCCAAACTACGATCTCATCACTAAGATCATAGACATTTATTATTGCTCTTCCTGGCCACTGGCCGCCATTCGTTAAGGGAGCGTACCCGTTCCTGTTCACTCATTTGCAAGAAGTGTATTCTCGGCGTTGGTTCCGTTGTTCTCTATCAGCCACTCTATCAAGAAGTGCCATTTCTTAATATACGCGACTGATCATATCTTCAACTGGCTGACATCCTAATTTGTTCAATCTTTATTTTTCATGATTTATGTGTACAAATACTCAGGTTATTTTGCCATATATTTGTCCGGTCTTGAAGAGCACATGAAAAGCGACCGAGGGTAGTACCGTCTGGTTTTATTGTACCTGTTTAGTCCGCCTGTCGCCCTATCGCACTCGCTTGGGCTTCAGGCGACGATGCATTATCACCACCGACACCAGTCTCACCATGACATTCATATGGTGGTTCGATCCCCCCCACGTCGCCCGGATATAGTACCTCGTCACCGACTACCATATCTTGTGCCAGAAACACCAACGTTCGTGAAAAGGGATTCCGACCCTAGTCAGACCTGTTCAGCTGGAGACACCTCAAGTAAATGCGAGAAACCTACTAGCACGACTACGACGACGACTCTACCTGTCGTGCTGGGAGCAGTGTATGTCGGGATTCCCCTCTGATTCCACAAACCCCTTCCCATCTCACCAAAAACGAAGAAGAAAAAGAGCCCTAACTCATTAAAAAGTGTGTGTTTGTATATGGGATAGCAGTTGATTGAAGTATAGGGTGCCGATACTATGTGCCGTAATCGTCCTAGTTTATCTGCATCGACGAAATGTGAGGAAGCTCCGGAACGAAGATGCCAATGACAAGCATAGATCGCTTGATTTTGGGTTGGATCTGGAGCCAACGGGTGGAGGCAAAGCGATGCGGCAGACTGAGAAGTCCAATGGAAATTATAATCACAACAAGGGAATCTCATTGGATATTGGCCCGAGTCCTTACCTACTACCCCCAGGCCTACATGGTTCCCGGGATTCGCTGCATTCGTTGTCCAGATCTATAGGTGGCGATGATAAATACCGGCACGCCACTTCATTCTTAGGTGACAACGCATCTGTCAGATCACAGTCAAGAGGGGCTCAAGATGATGCATCAAGCTTTACAGGATCAACCAAAAAGGCCGCTCTCGGCGATGATATGAAGCAAGGCTTATTAGGAAACGCTCAAAGAATGTCACGATCCAGTCCACCATTATATATAACACCTGGCGAAGAAGGCGCACACATGCACGTTGATCCTATTGCACAACCGGATCATGGCTTTCAATTCGAGTTGCCCAGAAGCCCTAGCCCAGTCCTCATCCCGGGAGCTCCTATTACCAAAGAGTCGATTATGCCGGCGAACAACGTCCGCAAAGACGCCGGTGATCTTGGAAATAGCGACATCCATGACCACCCGGAAGAACGTCTAAACCTTGCCTTACATGATCCTAGAACGACTCCCAGAATATCGCTTCCTCTGAGCGATGCAGCAAGCCACTACGATGATAATGGAAACTCCGAGCCTGCCATTCCGGCTGTGAACATTCATCAGATAGAAGATGACCCGAGACATGGCAAGGGCCCTAACCACCCAGCTATCACTGACACTTCCCCGGATGAGTCTTCACAAACGCCGCGGTTAATTGTTGATCCTCGTCGCGACACGCGTCGGTTGACATTAGGGTTGCGTCCTCTGCCGCCAGAGGATCCGTCAGACAACCCGGAGCAACGGGCCAATCGTATCCGATCGTTCTATAAAGAATATTTCGACGAGAATAAGAATGGAAGGGAGACTTACTACGGTCCCGAGTCTTATCACGATGGTGACTATATTTACGATTCGGCTACTGGGGATTACTACGACAGTGTTCCAGCACCGTTTGCTGAACCAATAAACCGTCGAGCTATGACTCCCCCTCCACGCGGTCCCCCGCGGTTTCAAGGGGGAGGTAGACATATGCCTTCGGGTTCTATCGGCGGCTTTAGCGATCGACTCAACTCCCCAGGCCCACGTGCCTTCTCGTCAGCTTCTGGCAGACTGCCAGGTGCCCCGAAAATCCGCAAGCCTGCACCTCCACCAGCTCCACTGCAGCTCCTACCTACACCCCATATGTTGAAGGATGACTCTATAATGGGAGCTATCGACTACGCCCCCGGGAAAAGTTATAGAGACCAGAGGGAAGGGCGTCCAGAGACACCTCTTGGAGGGGTGCAACCGTTCAGTCCAACGATGCGAGCCCACACTCCACTTGCCTCATCTTTCAGTGAACTTGCTGTCATACCGAGCCCGTAAGTTCTCTCCTCTTCTCTCCCGTCCCTTTTCTTTTCGCTTCTTATCTTTCTTTTCTATCCTTTTTCTAGCCCAAGTATATCACTGGGATCATAATCTTGGACTAACCCTGCTCCAGGCATGCATTGCGGAAGTCAGGTACATATGACAATTTGGACTTTGTTCCACCACCTCGCTTCAAAAACCTCGAGACTGCAAGCGACTCTGGTAGCATTCGCAGTAATCGGACTGGAATCTCTACGACTCATCTACAGAATATACGCACTGGTGCGTACCGTGTCAGCCGCCTTCCCCCTGAAACTGTGGGTACCAAGGATGACCTGGTTACTAACCTTCGTCCAACGTGGGATATGCATAAGTAAACATATATTGGTTCAGTGTGATCTCGTTATCAATTTTTGCTGTAATGATTTCGTTTATTGCCCACCAGTTTCAGGTGATTACATACTATGTAACGATATATTGCTTGTTTATTCCCTCATACATTGTACTCTTTTTGAGAAAGCTGGGTCAATTAGCAAGTCATTTGACGTCAATGGCGTACATAGCATGCAAGGGGTTGGTTATCTATCCATTTATTCTTTTCTCTTCCTTCAACGGGTTTTCTGAAAGTTGAAACTACGACAGCTACGTTCTATAGTTCATAAACTGCGAATATTGTTGATCAACTGGCAACAACTATATGAAAGTGTTTGACATCTTTAATCACTTCTGGTGTCTTCACTGATTATTCATCAATGTGAGACATCGAGAGGACACATTGACTCACTTCGTTGTTTTTGGTAGTTTTATCTCCTACTTCCTCATTACTATCTATGATAATTGTTCTACCTACCTCCTAGTACGGAGGGTTTGGTTTAACATCAACACGCCGTTGACCGACATATGTGTGGCAGAAGATAAGCATCAACCGTTTCACTTCTGGACTACTTTTACTGCACCTATAGTACGGAACTGGGCAGATTGAAACTCCACACGTTGTATGCCAGATCGTCTTAGGCCAGGTGCCGTTAAGAAAGGAGTGACTAGCGCTTATGTTGATTTTGGCTCAAATTCCTATATCATAGTCATAGCAAGCTTGAGCAGCGTGTTCGCCATGACTCTGCAAGAGCGAAGGAGTAACAGCAGTCGATAGCTTTAAATGAGAGCGAGTTGCTACTATTATTATCTGCTTGCTGTTGTTAGAATATTGATTGGCATTATACAATATATGACTTCAGATTTATAGAAAGCCCACGGTTGGCCTCTAATTGACCATTGTGTGATCCTCATTTTATGCCAACCAGAAGCCAATGACCATACATAAAACATATACGGTAAAAGTCATTCATGGTAAAAAAAAAATATCAAAATGTATCGTATGGGTAAGGTGCCACAAAATTGGAAGCTAGAGCAGGGGTGTCTTCGTGGCAAATTTGACACAAGACATCTTATCTCTTTGAGCGCCACCAGCTTAAGGAGGAATCTGAACAACAAAATGGATAATTTTGGATGCTGGATAGGTGGAGTCGAGATTATTGTTGACCAATGTTATTTGAACATTGCCAAGTACCCTCTACTCCTACTACTGTGTACTGTGTACTGTGTACTGTACTACTGCTACTGTATCCGTGGGTCGAATGTACAGAGGGCGAAATTTTCCGTTTCTTTCTCCGTTTCCACTTAGTACTCACAGAATATACAGCACAGTCAGCACATACCTACTCCGGAGTAGAGTACATCACCGGTTAATTTTAGAGATGATTCCACCCCATCGATCTGATCTTTACGGAGTATGGAATGGAATTAGTATGTGCTATGTACCTGTAGTTTTTGGTCAACCGGTGCCGAAGGCTTTCCTGATATAGCCCACGCAAGTCCGGGTCAGGAACAACCACTCATCACTCATTGTTAATAGTAATGTATGTACGTACGGAGTAAGTTCATAAACTACACAACTGCAAGCAGCGCTATGCGGGCCTTCAATCCCCATATTCTCTGACAAATACCCGACTGTTGCTGAAGAATATGAAATTTACTACTGACATGAGCGACTAGAGTGTTAGGCGCTCTTCCGGAAGTGGGGAATTGCCGATCGCAGCCAGTGGAACCGTGAACGTTGCCGAATTTACCTACCCTGTCCGCACTCGTCGAGGACAGTGTAATTATCAATTTCCCCTGGCAGTAGTAACCATACAGAAAACATACTGTGTACAGTATTAGGTAGTAGTAGGTATGGTACGCATACAAGGCAAAGTTCCGTCTCTCCACTAAAACCTGAGGCATCCGAAAGTCGGTAATCACTAAGAACAATAATACGAACGGTGCCACTCCTATCCGGTTGCAGTTGTGATTCAGCATTCGACGTTCTGTCTCTCTCTCCACTTTCTGTTTCTTATTCCTTTTCTGTTTTGAACTCTGATCTCTTTACCATACCCTTCTGACTTTGTTTTAGTTTCATTCCATTCCTTCGTCTTCCTACTATCTATCCCATGGCACCCTATTTATCGGCTTGGGTAAGTCAATGTTATTTTCCTTTTCCCCTCTTCTGTTTCACCTCTTTTTTCTTTTTTTTTTTTTTCCTTCCCCCTTGGCGGTTTTGCTCGTTTTCCGCCGCACTAATTGATCTTCTTCCCCTGACCAAAGTCCAGGCAGATAGACCATCACGATTGCTTCTTTCTACATGATCGTTCCCTCTAACTTTAGCGCACCCCCTCATTGACTCTATTGCGCACGTGAACCATCTATCTACAATATCGCGACTGCTCTATATCTGCGACTTAAAGTACGACATCGTCCTGAGTAGTCCAGTCCGCGACTGAAGTTGCTTCTTGGGAATCTTTCGGGGATCCTCCGGCCACACACGGACTTTTAGATTCAAGGAAGATTATCAATTTATTCAGCGAACATTCAGTCATCTGAGTCTCAAGGAGCCCTTCCTGTAAAACTTGCGGCCATAGGCCAATTCTCAGTCACACAACGAGTGACAGCTTTTGTCAAATTGACTCGGAAAAGAGCCAGTTCAGATTCTGAGATGTCCGTATCTTCAGCAGGTATGACGGAGCCTTTTCCATATGTTCTGCGCTATAGCATAGTTGTGCACTTTCCATATCCGTGAAATGGTCGAATAGTACGCTGAACCTCTTGCAGCGGCGCCGTCGGCGCCAACGGCAACCACTGCCGAAGCCGCCACACCGACAGCAGAAACGCCGACTACAACACCATCTGAAACGTCTACTACATCCGAGCCAACAACGTCCTCTTCTACAACATCTTCTTTCTCTTCGTCGTCGACCTCCACATCATCGACCTCGTCGTCAACGACTTCTACAACTACCGCGACGCCGCCACCGACATCTAGCACTACCAGTATCCCTTCTACGAGCTCAGAAACCTCGACCACAAGCAGCGACACGAATACCACCCCAGTTGTTACATCAATCATCACGAAGTCGGCGACTGATGGTACCACAGGGCCACAGACTGTTATTGTTACCTCCACGGATACCTCTCTGCCCACTCACTCCACAGGGAATTCAGCCAATAGCATATCCGCTACCGCAACTGGATCATCGGCGACAACATCGGCTACAAGCGGAAGCGGAAGCGGTGGCTCTGGGCTTTCGGCTGGCGGAACAATAGCAGTTGCAGTGGTTGTACCGGTCGCCTCCGTAGCAATCATTATCTTAGCTGCTTTGTATTTCTGGCGGAAATGGAAAGCAAAGAAAGCAGCAGAAGAGGAACGAAGGAAGGAGGTAGAGGAGTACGGTTTCAATCCGAATAATGACCCAACTCTTCCACCTATCATGGGAGGCGGTGCTTTCGAGCCCAAGGATGATACCTCGGGTTATCGAGGATGGGGGACCACGTCGGCTGGTCGCAAAGCTTCCACTAATTTGTCCAGTGGTGCTGGGGTTGGACTAGCAATGTCCGAGGCAGGAAGTGCCCCTGGCTATCATCATGTCACTACCCCAAGCGATGGTACTATTCAATATTCTGAGGGTCCGGCAGCGGGTGAGACAGATCCTATTGGCGTTCTAGGAGCTGCGCCGAGTGCTGCAGCAAACAACAGAACCACAGATATACATCGTGGTCCATCTAACGCTTCGTCCGCATATTCTGCAGCCAACCGCTCGGAGGCTTCAGATGAAAGTCATATGTCTGCTACACATCCTACCGGTCCTTTTTACGATGATAACCCGTACTACAATGAGATGCAACCGCAGTACGGGGCATATGGTGATGGCCCCTATGGTGGAAGTCCACCTGTGATTCGAGACGTTCAGGCACGGCGCAATACTCGCATCGAGAACCCTGCTGTCTTTCCCAGACAAGGAAATGCTGGAATCGCTCAAAATTTCTGAGAAAAGCCCTCCATACGCCCTAACCTTACTATACACTCACTTGTTGATGGCGTTTCCGAAACCGGTAGATTTGATAAGGAGAAGCAGTGACTCTTGTACACTTCCTGGTGGCCGTCCAAAAGCAGTGGAATCACAAGTGTCTGCAAACTTGTGCATCACTTAATGATGACCCGCATGCCTTCTCTTGATGAAATCTCGGCTATATTGGAAGACTTTATCAAGATCTTATATCGTATTTTATCCTATTTATCAACTTCGTCTATGTTTTATATTCCAATGGCGGCTGTCTACCTTGCGGTCTCACTTTGCTTTCCTTTTGTGGCTATTGTGATATCTTTGGGTTTGGTGGCTCTGTTTCATTCGAATTGTTCTTGTGCTGTTGGTTTCTCGTTGTTATTCCCAGTTATATCCCGAATTTGCAGTGCGGTCTTTCTTTCTCTTTGCCCCTCTTTGCTATTTTGTCTCTCTATTCTTGTATCTGTATATTTATGACTGCTCCTAAGTGCCAGTCATGTGTGTCAATGCGTGCCTGCTATCTCTTTAGTACGTGACTGGAATGGGTCAAGGTCACCTACCACCTCTTTTTTCTGTGATATCTTCTTCCACTTATTATTCTGCTCCACTATCCACTGTTTGATTTGAAGTTTATTTGGGTTTGGATATATTATAGTATATTGTACATCGCGTGCATCTCTGTCTATATTCGGATGCAGTTACCTTGGTGGATTATTTTTTCTTTTCTTGTTTACTTTTAGCCTCTTTGCCTCTAATTGGAGCATGATTGATTGCATAACATGGCTCTTCCAAATACTTTCCTCGGTCATGTTTGCCGTGGTCATCAACCTCAATTCACCATCCGTGTAGACTTGCTACTACTACATGGGAGTATATGTTCTCCATAAAATTGAAGTTCAGCATTGCTCGATCTGCCATCCTTAGATTACAAAGGAGACTTCTCTCTGCCGTAAAAACTTAACAAAATGACTGCAAGGAATGGAGGTGGAGGCGGGGGGATTGAGAGAAGTAGAAGAAAGCAAAGCAAAGAAAACTACTACATTTTTTGCTGGCGCGTTTAGGTGGTTAAAGTCCTACGTTAGTGCAGCACTACTAGGTAATAGTGTGTACTCCGTAGTTGAACATGCCGATATCGTGACAGTTATGGTTAGTGCTATGCATGGTTGGTTCGCGGAAGTGAAAGGGAACGTGGGCGCACGGCCATTAGTGATTGGCCCGGGACCAGCTCTCCAGAGCTCCCCACTCGCCCTCCTCTGACCTCTAACCTGACGTGATTTTTCCCGAGACGAGTCCTTATTGTTCATGCTGTCCTTCTGATATTCCACTCTAATTCGCTGCTTGCGTTAATGCTCCTGCTACTATAACGACGGCATTGGCTGGGAAACTTTGGCTTTTTTTTCCCTCTTTTCCTCATTCGTCTCCCATCGTTTAACACCTACGCTGTCCGCTGAAGTCGAGTGCCCCGCACCGCCCAGGTCTCTCCTCCAGTGACTGACTCCAGTTGAATGAACGATTACAGACGGCATGCAGTAATAGCCTGAAAGGTAGACTAAGTACCAGCTGGCTACAAGACGAGCATCCCTCCGCACGAACTGCCAATACCCATAGAGACCAAGGGCTCCCTGGAGCGATATTCGTGCTGCTTCTTGTCCTTTGTTTCAGCTAGGTCTCGTGGCTAGCGATTGTGTACAAGACAGTACATGCCCATCTGCTACTCGCGATTACGTTTTGCACGTCCATGCTCCAACAAAAGATTAAAGCACTACAACGGCTGTTACCTGCTTGTCTACTCCCCTTTCGCCCCACTTCGGGTTACGTCCCTTTTTCACTTGCCCACCCCTCCCCTCTACTACATTCTGTTGAAGCATTCGAGAGAGACAATTGCTGCTACCTTTATTCTCTTCCCTCCCTCGCTCCCTCCTCCTCTTCTGTCACTTTACCATATAAGCATTGCAATTGGAACATCCTGGGTACCCGTCCCGACTCCCGTCCTTGTTCAACCTTTAGGCTTTGCCTTATCAGGTGTGAGTGCATCAAGGGACCGGGAGAGTGTCGGCTTCCGCAAAAAAGCTTACCAAGATGTATGTGAATATATTTTCCCATATGAGAGCTGAATTGTGTCACAAGACAACTAGCCGTTAGCGATCTATGGTCTGTAACCTACAAAGCTAACCGTTCCGTTCATAGGAAGTTCGGCAAACAAATCCAGCGCAGACAACTCGACCTTCCTGAATATGCCGCAAGTTTCGTAAATTACAAGGCCCTGAAGAAGGTCGGTACCCAGAGAGGGATCGCAGTGCTAAGAGTTCTGTGGCTAATGTTTAGATGACAGCTCATAAAGCAATTAAGTGCTACGCCGACCATCCCCGCTCAAAGCTCTGCAGGCGCAACTCAAGATGTTCCCGAAGCGCAAGCCGCCCTTCGCGCAAACAAGGAGGTGTTCTTCTTTCGGTTGGTAGGGGCTCGTTAATCGGTGTGTTGAAAGGGGTTCGCGTTGATTAACAACCCATACAGGAAAGGGAAATCGAAAAAGTCAACACATTCTACTTACAAAAAGAAGCCGAGGTTTGTTTTCATATTAGGCACATTTTGGCCCACCGAGTATACTTATCTGGCCTCATAGTTCTCTCTGCGATTGAAAACGCTAGTCGATAAGAAAAGGGTCATTCAATCACGAACAGTACCCAGTTCCAAGGCACCAGCTAATTTTGTTGCCTTATTCGAGGGGTTCCAACAATTCGATGGCGATCTGAACAAGTTGCAAGTGAGCATGTTGTTTCCGACTATCTTGCGCACGGGAGAGTCTAATTTTACCATTTTCAACAAAGCAATTCGTCGAGATCAACGAGACTGCTATGTCAAAGATCCTTAAAAAGGTTCGTGGGTATTTTGGCTTACTAGGGTTCGGGATAGCTAACATATTAGTTAGTGGGATAAAACTTCGAAGGTTCGAGTTACTCATAAACACCTACCCCCATTCAGATTGCGCTTACTGTTTTACTGACCTTTGGATTAGTCACGTATGAAGGAGTTATACCTCCACCGGGCTGTCGAAGTACAGCCCTGTTTCAATCGGGACGTTTTGCGTGATCTATCAGACCGGGCAACAACCGCTCGGCTGGAACTCGAGGCATGGGCAGAAGGCGAGAACATCCATTTCGATGCTGCTCGCCCGGTAGACCGCACTGCAGCTGTTCAACCGTTTGGAGTCGATGAGGAAGATCTTGACCTGCAAATCCTGCAGTCAGCCACTGCTGGTAATCTTCAGACATTGCGTGAGTGGACCGCGAAACTGCAATCATCTCCTGATGCTCGTGAACGCGCGACTCGTACCTTCCTTGCCGCTATCAATGAATTTTCAGACGATGTGTTGGCAGTTCTTCTTGAAAGCGGATTGGTTGATATATACGCTGAAGACGACATCAACGAACGCAACTGTTTGCATGAAGCAGCCATCTCAGGTCGAGGGTTTGTTTTCAAGTCCGGCCTTGCGGCAGGTGTCGATATCTCAAGGTCCGATGTTTACGGCAGACTTCCTCTACACTATGCTTGTATACACGGCCGGGTAGAGATGGTGAAAGATCTATTAGCTGCAGGTCCTCACACCGTCGACGTGATGGACCACGACAATTTTACTCCACTGATTCACAGCATCGTCAAAGGTCAGCTTGCGTGTGCTGAGCAACTTCTTCACAGCAATGCTCGCATTGATCCAGCTTCTGAATCAGACCACATTCCACTGAACCTGGCCTGCCAGCATGGATCGCTTTCAATTGTGGGGATGCTTCTCGAACGACATGCACAATTACTCCCAGATGCAGAAGGCCTCTATCCTCAACATATGGTCGCAAGAGCTTCTCAGTCTCCGCAATTGCTGATAATGCTCAAACAACATGGGGCTGATTTGAACCAGAAAGACAAACTGTACCAATGGACGCCGCTGTTTCATGCTGCGAGTGAAGGCTGCGTTGACTGTCTGCGCGCTCTTCTTGAATTGGGTGTTGATGCGGGTGTTGTAGACGAGAAGGGCCTCGCTGCAATGTATTATGCAGCATGGGAAGGTCACTTGGAGTGCATGCTGCTTCTTTGGTCGCATCGTAGCAATTCTCGTCCACCACAGAAGCCGTTTGATATTCTCAATGGTTTGAGGCTACAAGAAACAGGTCACTTAGCTGGCTCGCATATGGAGGATGCTACGACGACTTTCGATAGTACTGAGGTAGTGGATGGTATACCCGATCTTTCTCTCCCGCCACCAATCATACCTTTACGTCGTTATGGTCATAACTTTTTGGACAAGAAAGTGTTCGTGCAAATACTTTTTGACACCGGAAACTCTGGTTCGATTATCTTTGATCAGGCGGGCCGTCACCCTGCGGCTCGATTAACCATTTCCTCAAAACTTTCTGACTTGATTCCACGCACCATTATGCTTCCCATCCAAGAGGATTCACGATTGATCTCATTTCAGGTAGATAACCTAGAGACATTTGCAGTGGATTTCGAGATATTCCCCACTTTCGGCTCGAAAGTGATTGCGAAGACAGTTGCCCTACCGACTGTATTTAAAGCTGAGATCTCTAGCACTGGCTCGTGTTGCTTGCCGTTATTTGATCCTAGGCTACGGTCAATAGGGCAGCTACGATTTAGCTTCCAAGTGATAAAACCGTACCATGGCGATCCCCTGGAAATCACACACTTTGCTACCTATTGGAAGGCTACAAGTGCCATCGACTCAGAACATAATGGTTTGGTAACAGGGTCGAGCTTGTCTGGAGATCATGTTCAGCTTTTCGTGCAACTCACCAAAGACAGAATACCCGTGCTCTATCCTTGTTTTACAATCCTGCACCATGGCATTGAATTACCTATCTGTCATCTCACATACCCTCAGTTCCAAGCCATCGGTGTTGAGAAAGGCGTGAATCGCTTAGACTTGTTCCAGCATCTTCAGACGCGTGCTATTGATGATTTAGTTCAAGCGCACCGCATGCTAGCATCATCATTCCTATCCCTCAAGGAAGTACTCTTGCACCTGCCTATTGGTGTCAATGTCAATCTCTCGATACTCTATCCCTCGGCTGCTGAAGAGCAAGCGCTGAACATGGTATCTTTAGCTGATGTAAATAGCTTTGCTGATGCCATTCTCACTGTGGTTTTCGATCATGCCCGTGTGTCACGGGATCAGAACCCCGAGTTTATGCGTTCGGTGGTATTTACCTCGTACAACCCTAATGTTTGTGTTGCTCTGAACTGGAAACAACCAAATTGTGAGTATAAAGGTCCCACTAAAACCTATTACATGGTTTGCTAACTTGCATTTCTAAGACCCCGTTCTTCTTTGCAATGATCTAGGTCAAATTCGTGATTTGACGCGAGGTGTTGGATCACTTCCAGACATTAATAGTAGTGGTCGTGCATCGATGTCCATAAAAGAGTCGGCAAGGATAGCGCAAAGCAACAATTTTATGGGCTTGATATGCCGGTCCAGCCTGTTGGTACGTGTCTCTGCCCCTATATGCTTGCTCCCTACGCATCTCCCATTCTTGGTATACTATGCATTATGGTCATCTACTAATACAGAGCTTCTGTGGCTGCTTCAGAACGTTGTACCGGCTCTTGTAGAGACTATTAAGGAACTTGGCCTCGTACTTGTAGCAGATACGTCCGACGAAGTTGAACCTGCAGGCCATAAAGAAGCTCTAGGAGCAGCGAATGCGATGGGTGTTGCCGAATGGGCATACCGAATGCCTGATGGTGTGAACGGTGTGATGAAAGCCAATGGTATTTTGAGATTTAACGATATGATTGACATGTGAGACATCTTTATATACATATTTGATCTTTTCATTCAACTCTGGTGTTGTTAACTTAGGTATATATTAAGGTCTTTATGGCGTGGAAGATAATGGGTCTCTATTGCATGTCTGACTTTCCTTTGCATTTGATTTGTGCCGCTGCTTTGCATTTTCACACCCACCTGTCAAGCATCTAAGTCATCCTTCTGGTCTCATCGAGGTTTCGTACAAACTATAAAAAGGCAAAATGAAAAGGAAAAGGGCGGGAAAAGAAATTGAAAATGAAACGGAGAGGAGGATATACATCCGTTTTCATCTGAATAATACCTTGCCAACTCTGTGCTCCTCTTTTCTCTTTTTTTTTTTTTTTTTTTTGATATATTTTCTTCTTGTGGGCTATTACTTGACGCACCTGTGTTATACGAATACGCAATTGGAAAACATAGGAGTGGAGAGGAACACTTAAAAAGTCATGCACCCCGGGAATCTAGATATAACAGCTAATGTACAATTAAACCGTGAAACTGATCTCTAGTTGACCATTGCTGTGCCACCAAACCATACAGAAAAAGAAAGGTGGGCAGACATGCCTTTCATGTCCTTGAAAAGCAATGGGCCGAATTACATACCCTTCGGTTTACCTTTGACAATATCCCAGCCCCATTGCCGCAAGGCCTTGACAACTTTGGGAGTTATAGCAGCAGTCAGAGGCACACGAATGAATATAAGACTCTTGTGGATTGCATAGGCAAGCGCAACCTGTGTCCATAGACCTGCACAGATAGTAGTTAGTGAACACTCCACACAACGCACGTGCTTGAAGAGTCATGCAAGGATAACATACTCGCCCCTTCATCTAACTTTTTCTCCACCACACTCCCATCCACATCACACTTTGAAGGATCGGCCCTAGGATCTGTCTGCTCATTGAAATGCTCCTCTTGCACACTGGGAAGCACAGTGCCGACTGCACCCTTAAAAGCCTCAACGACTACATGCTCATAATGACCGATTTTCTCCGCCCCAAGGAAGCGAACGGCGGCAAAACAGAACGGGAAATCCATTGCAGACAAGAGTAGATACACCCCCAAGGCGGACCAGCCGTACTCCCGAGAAAGCGCCTTTAACCGCTGTGAGAGCGAACCAGATTGCCCCGACTGCGGTGAGCTGTTTGACCTGGATGAGCTAAAGAATCGACGGAAAACCGGAGCCTGTTGGGTACGAGAAAAGTTCCGCATGTTACTAGACCGGGGTCTTATTCGGCTAGAAAGAAAGCTGTTTTTGTCGGCTGAAAGGGAAAAGGCGCGGCGGAAGGTATTAAAGGAAGCTGGTGGCTGGGTCATCTGGACGTTTGTCCTGGTTAATCTTGACGGTAGCACATGCCACTCAAGACCGGAAGCTTGGGAAAGCCAGCGCGACATAGTGAGATGTCTCAAAGACATGGCTAGTGGGTATAGAAGACACCGGGGTTTCTATTCAAAAGGTCAAAGTCTGGATGGGTGCTTGCAGGGTTCGTATGTTTCTTTTTCTTTGGCAAAAAAAAGAAGGCACCCACAAATTTAATCGTGCTCTATCTGCAAGTCTATAAAGTTGGCAAAAAGCTAGTAATGCGACGCTAAAATATAAGAAAGGAGGAAGGCGGCGCCAGGACAATTGTAGTGGTGACGTTCCAGATAGCAAGCAGATCGCAAAATTATTCCATGAATGTTCGGCGGTCGGTGTGCCGGTATGTCCGGTACGTCCGGTGCACGGGATACCTAGTATAACACAGCAGGAGCACTGCCAGGGCTGCATAGTACTGAATGCCAGGAAGGTTGAAAGCAGCTGCCCAATTTCCACTATGTATTGTATAAATTAAATGCTATTTTCCAGCGGTAGAGCATACGCGGACAGAGGTAGTTCGAAGTGAGTATGTGCCTTACGTATTAGGCACTCATGATGAGTGCTCACCGCCCTAGATACTCTTCTCTGCGCGTAGTCATAAAAATCTCGGAGACGGCCGAGTTCATCGGTCTCATTCAAGAAGTGCCCCTTTAGGCAACTTTTGTTCCGTCATGGCACCTCGTCTACCGGGTCGGTTATTACAGTCTCCTCTATTTATTTGGGCTTCCCATTCAATAAATCGCAGCAATGCCCCGATCCGGTCGTTTGGCATCAGGTCATTAAACCCTCCGAAGACCTCCCGGTTCAATGTCGGATCCGATCTCCCAGTGCTCAAATCGACACCAACAGCAGCTCTAGAACGCAAAGCAGACACGCTGCCCCCCAGAACTGGAGCCATCACTATCAAGAAAGGGATGACTGCCCTCTACGATGCAGAGACAGGGAAGCGAATCGCGTGCACCGTCCTTCAGCTGGACCGACTGGAAGTCATCTCGCATAAGACACGGCAACAACATGGTTACTTTGCTGTCCAAGTTGGTTCTGGCTGGAAACACCCTAGTAATCTCACCAAGTCACTTCTAGGGCACTTCTCTGTTAATGGTATCTCTCCGAAACGGCACATCTTTGAGTTCCGAGTGCGGGACGAAAATGGCCTCCTGCCCGTCGGTCAGGCAATCAATGCGGACTGGTTCCAGGAAGGCCAATATGTCGATGCTCGATCAAACACAAAGGGAAAGGGATTTGCTGGTGTGATGAAAAGACATGGGTTTGGTGGTCAAGATCGAAGCCATGGCGTCAGTTTAACACATCGCTCTCTTGGTTCTGCGGGTCCCAGTCAAGGCGGTGGATCCAGAGTGTATCCTGGGAAGAAGATGGCAGGAAATATGGGCAATGAGCAGAATACGGTACAAAACCTGAAGGTTCTCAAGGTTGACTCGCAAAATGGGATTGTTGTTGTCAACGGTAGGATTCCTCTACTCCTAGGTGCATTGGGCTATGCTAATTTGGCTATTCCTCGTCAGGCGCTGTCAGCGGGCCGAAAGGCTGCATCGTCAGGATCCAAGATGCCATCAAGAAACCATGGCCCGAAGTCGTATCCCCATCTGAATCAGTTCTGTAACCTAATAGATGGTTGGTTTGCTTCTGAGAATGTACTATTACAATATATCGTTTCACAAAGCGGCGTCTGTATATGATACATAAATGATATCCTGTTATCCTTTTCTCTCTCCCTATTTCATTCCCATCAATGAAATTTCCCTCGGGTCTGTCCCTGCGGCCTTTGTACTCTGAAGTACCGTCGCTCCGTACCGGAATGGAGTGAAGGAGCCAAAAGTGCCATGGCCCCGGCGCTTACATGCCTAGATTAGTGCACGGAGAGCTTCAAGATATACAATGATGAAAGTGCTGCACAATACCACGCATATGCAAGGATGCAGCTTCCAGGGGAACTTGATGGTAATTAGTCGTGCTGACGAAATGGGTCACTAGCGCTGTCAAGGAGCTGAACGACGGTGCCATCCTCCGTCTCTAGACTCCATTCCTCAGTACGAAACTGGAACAAAACTGTTAGAGGAGCACTATCGGATAAAGAAGGGGACAGTGTGTTTGTTTATAACGAACATAGCTCATTCGGTCTGGCCTGATGCTGCGGAACCTCATTGTACCCTGCGACTTTGTTCCTTTGACCCTGAAGGATATGTCGATACGTCCATGTAGCTGATTCATTTCCCCACTGATCCATGGTATCTTTTGAGCAAAGTAAATCTCATCGCCCAGGATTTCGCGAGCACGCGGGGAGGTGCGAAGAGCATAAAGGGTACTGCTAACCACGCTTGAAGACGACTTCTGGTAGTTGAAAATCCCTAGCATCGCAGCTCCGACAGCGATAGCAAATATTGGTAAGGTCCGCATCCACCGTCGGTCCTTGTTTACAGAGGGCAGTTCGCGGTCTGCCCGTCGTTCCATCAAAGGGCCCGAGTTGGCGTGCGGGGCAGGAGTGAGATTGCGACGAAGAAAAGTCCGGCCAGGAGAGAATGGGGTTCGCACGGCGTTAATGCGCCGCAGCGCAATATGCAGAGCCATTTCTGGGTAAAGACAAGTCCAGATGGCTAGCTAACTGATATGATACAAAGGCGAGCTTAGTCATATATTAATTGCATGGGCACGACGATAGTAGATCATGATATGTTAGCAACCTAGCAGTTCCTTTCGGGGCAGATGTGGCCTGTGGAGCGGAGAGGAACAACCAAACAAGACAAACTGCGGAGGTAGAAATGATGACCTAGCAATATATAGAGTATGTAATGTCATCTTCCGTTGTACATACAACTTGAAGGGCGATTTGTCACTGTGCAACTCTTAGAGGACAACACTACCTGGACCCATGGCAACTGCACGGCTGCGCAAGGTGTTTCGTTATCCTGATGATTCGGGTGATGATGAGCATGAACGTGAAGAGCTAGACGAGGAGGGTATGTTATGGACATGTTAGACTCAATACAATTTTCCACTAACAATTTCGCAGAGCAGGAGTTAGTGATAGAACGCTTGCGAGCGCAAAATAATAAGCGCAATGCAGAATATACTGTAAATGCCTCTCTTCAGAAGTTGTCACTCTGAGCATTGCTAAACGTGAAACTCAAACTTGGTACCTTAATCAAATAGGTTACCTTCGCTGCCATCCCAATATTATCGATCTCACTTTTCATTCCGTCAGTGATTCGGCAAGGCTCAGGCTTACAGGAGCGCTTTCTTTCATTCTTAAGCATTCTTTCGTTGATAGCCACGGCATACACTATGAAGTACTTCCCCTTCCAGCGCCCAGATCTGAAGGGCAAAGGATCCATGCGAGGTTCAGGTACCCTCACCCACCTTCGGAAGTTTATTCTCCCTGTAAATACCGCAATATGTGGCCTGTTGCTATTAGTGTGGCTCTTCTCCCCTGTAGAACCACCTCGCGATAGACAGCCAAAAACATATATTGTTCCCGGAGGTGAGTGTTTCTTAGTTATGCCTCTCAATATGGTCGCAGCCGTTTCTTCAGGAAAATGGAAATAACTTTATATATTGCAGGAATGCTTGCAATCATCATGTTGGCGCGGAAAATGATGGTCTCTGTTGACCTTAAACACCTTGAGGATCTCCGATACGGGTATAAAGGAGTTTAGGGCTTATGGCATAGCTACTGATTGCACTAATCATATACAATTAGCACTCAATTTTCTCTTTTCTTCATACCTTTCGCCCTCCCTTGCCGCTCCTTCTCGTCTTGTACAGTTGCAACTAACTAGATATTCACGATGCTCTCTTCATTGTCTAGGACCAAAGCTTCGTGGATGCCCGAGGTCATCCGTGTCTCATTCTTCTTCAAATGGTATCAGTATTGGATAGTGATGCCAAATAGTCCAATGACTTCAGCCACTCCATCCGCCAATAAAGAGATCATAGGGGGGTTAAAAAAATTAAGATAGATCTTTCCTAATACATTATTAGATCCATATCACCATTCCAGGTGTCCTTTCTTGTCATGTCTGCGGCGCTTCCTGCCTTTCCCACGCGAATCTGCACATGTCACTGACTGGATTCCGGCGGAGCGAGGAAAGATCCATCTAATTTCTCCAGTGCAGGATCAACGGGTATGTCTCTATAGTCCTTGAAGTACCCAGTCGTAGGGGAAGTCAATTGGACACTCTCTGGATACTCGCTCACCGCCTGGGGGAACTCTAGCTCAATACAATTATCAACCAAGGCTTTGCTGCGCTTCTCATCTGCCTCTTTCTGATGTCTTTTCAGTCGACCTACTTCATCATCACCAGCCTTCTTCAACCATCGGAGGTTGGACTGACGGAAATCCACCAAACTTTCCACGCTGCGCGGATCTGCTACCTTCCTGGTGTCGTGGCCCAATAAAGTGCATCTTGGTTCGTAAGGATTCATGGTCGGATCTCGACGGCATGCGGCGCAACTGCAAATTTTCTGACATCTAGGACACATCCAGCGATACATCTCCATGGTATCCTGTGGTTTGATATTAAAGGCCCTGAAGAGACTACCATAGCAGTAACTCAAGTTGCAGTATGAGCATGAGGCGAGCTTCCACGTAGGTTCAGCACACTTGCAAATATGGCATCGGCCACCACTTGTGTATGTATTGCTTTTGTGAGTTTTCCTTCGCTTCCGAGTAGGGGTAGCATTCTCCGAACCACTGTTCTTTTCCTCTATTCGCTGACGGACCGGATTTGTGACATCGACCCAAGGGCGACGTTTCATCTGCTCATGGCATATCTCAGCTAGAGATTTTTTGCCCAGCTGGGCACTCTTCGCGGGGAGACATGGGTATTTATCACTCCTAGCCTCGGCGAACCTTAGTAGTTGCTGCCTCCACTTCTCATACTTTCCGGTCAGTTCACTCCAACGGAACTGCTCAACCCACTTTAATTTTGATACACAAGCACAGCTTCTGCCCATGGTATAGCACTCCATGCAAATGTCGTAAGTATCATCTCCCTCACCAATGCACCAGGGGCAAGTCAAAAACCTATTGAATATGTTGCCTCGACAATATGAGCAAGTAATATTGCTATCGAAAGGAACGTATTCAAAATCCTTTCCTTTCGGTGGATCATGCGAAAAACTCTCGGAAAGCAGGATATGGGTATAAAGTTCAAATAAAAGCTCGAAATCCTCTAGCAGCAATTGCACTCGAAGGCCCCAAACGCCGATGTCGCCCATCTCACAAAGAAGATCAGAATAGTAATTGAGCGAGTAAAAGACAATGGCCTTATTTTTGTACTGCTCGTCGCGACATACCATTCTAGCATGTGGGAGCGCCTCAAACAAGGCCAATTCTAATGTTTTTGCAATAGTTCGATTCCATGCTACTTTCATCGTTCTCGTTCCACGGTTCCACACCTGGTGTGCGGCTAGTGGAGGAACCAAAAGAAAATCCCCCGGTCTTTGTTCGACAACATACGTTTTGAACGGGGCCGCTTTCCATGCATTAATCTGGGCAAAGTGATCCTCGATATCAATATCATGTCCCAGCGTAGACATCCAGTACTCAGCTACGACGTGGCGATCTTTGCTCTCAGTCATGAACCAGATGGAAGACCCTGGCTTGGTTGCTTTCCCGTATTCAACAGAACCATCAGATGCTTCAACCATTATGTTCTGTCCAAGGCTGGCGCACATCTCCTGGTGAGCTGGGGTGTAAGTCCCTTCGTGACCAATATAGCACATCAAGTTTTCAGCACGCATGAAGGGCGGAAGACAGCTCATGAGGTCCCCGGCCTTGGCAATAGGCCTCCCCGAAGCTGACCGTGCCAATAGTTCGTTGTTTGACGATAATGTCTTCGCTCCGGGGCCTTCGAACATCTCCGGTAACTTGTTTAGATAGAACAACGGAGGAGGAATAAGCTGTTTGAGGTGGTCATGCCATTTTTTGGGGCAGTCGATATCCTTAAGATAAATCCTCTGACGATTTGGATCTTTGTAGTTACGAGTAGTCCATTGATTCGTAAGGAGATGCATATTCTTCAAATAATGCCCAATAGTAAGTGGAAGGTCAGTTTTTGTCGTGAGATTCCGAGCAAATTCCGCTTCATATAAATTACGGTCAGACAACAGGCTGCGCACGCGGGGCTGGAAGGGTTACTCACTCTTCATTGAATAGTGACTCCTCAGCCATTTCTCGGAGAATATAGAACTGTCAAGCCTCTGGTTAAACCCTTCGATAACTAGGGGCTTTCCGCCCAGAACAACATGAAGCCACACGAGCTTCTCGAAGTTCTCCAGGCCATTCGCATCAATTGCATCGCAATGTATCCTAGCTACATATTCGAAATTTGGCGTCGAGTCTACTAAGTTCGCAATATCCAGGTCTGGAGAAATGGGCTCAAAGGCCGCCCGGGGCCGTTGAGCAGGCATCTTAGTAACTCCCAATAAAATCTAAGGTTGGAACAACGAAGTAGCAAGAAGGTTGGCGCCTCTCCATGTGATTTCCAATAAAAATCAAAGTATATCACAGTAAATCACCATAAGGCCTGGCAGAAGTGCATTTTCTAAGATTGGAAAGCCTTGAATCACTCAAACCAGCACGATATGGGCCCTTGCACAGTGATCCGGAGATGCAAGGCGGAGCAACAGCAGGATTTAGTGGTAATCGTCTTCGGCGTCGTAGTTCAAAGAAGTATTTGCCATATCAAACCCCACAAATGCTGAGAGGCGCAGAAGTTGACGATCATGACAGAGCAAAGTGAGGGAAGGTTTGATTGCAAGTAGACATAGAAAGCAAGATTGTGAAGCAGCAAATCGTCAAGTTCCCACAATCGCGATACCCAAGAGCTTCTCTGCATGACGGTCAAGTAGGTACCCGCTGCGCCTTCCTGCATTCGGTTAGACCTGAATATTGTCACTGTGGGTCATCCGTCCATTAGAGAAGGGAAAAGATTCTGGATCCTGATACTGCATAGAATGCTTAGACCACTGGAGTCGCACACAACCCTTGAAAAGACACTGAAACCCTATACAGCTAAAGGAACACTGACCTACAGGCTGACGTCTGTGAGGGCATTCCTGCACCAGCCATCTGAACGAGTGCAGCGCAGCAATCTGACCCTGCTTACTTCTCTCACCAAGATGAACTTCAATTGACCTACCCACTAAAGCATCGAAGAAAAGCTCTTGGTATTTCGCTACAGTCGATTTCTATAGACCACCTGATAGCCTTGAAAAATGGGGTTTACTACTCGTGTCGCCATGCATTGGAGTATGCAATCACGCAGATGCTTGGAAGTAAGAACAGTTCGTCACAACAGGCGTGATTTGGCGTACCTTCGACATAGTCTCTCCCCTCGCTTTATTTCGGGCTATTATACTTGGCAGAGGTCTGCCCTTCTTGCTACACCCCAGCCCACTACACAAGCAGGATCGGCATTAAGAAGGTTCAATTCTCACATACCGTACACATCACCATCAGCTACCAAATCACCCGATACAGCAGAACCGGCCTCGGTAACTCATTACACTCCACCTAAGACAGGACTTGTTGCCTCTCTTCCTCAGTCTTGGATACCGTACGCCGAACTGATACGCCTTGACAACCCTACTGGCACATACTATCTTTTCTTCCCATGCGCATTCTCGACACTTCTCGCGGCGCCAATGACACCGTCGACCCCTTTTCAAGTTCTTGGGACGATGGGGCTGTTTCTAGCGGGAGCTTTGGTCATGCGAGGTGCGGGTTGTACAATCAATGATTTGTGGGATAGGAATTTGGATCCACATGTTGAACGCACCAAATTTCGGCCGATCGCTAGAAGGGCAGTCTCCCCGCGCAAAGCTGTAGTGTTCACTGGGATGCAGTTGCTGGCGGGATTGGGCATTCTTCTTCAGTTCCCAACGCTGTGTCTTTGGTATGGGATACCTAGTCTGCTTCTTGTGACGACTTACCCCCTTGCAAAGCGCATCACGTACTACCCGCAAGCCGTTCTGGGCCTAACATTTTCATGGGGTGCGATGATGGGGTTTCCTGCGCTGGGCATAGATCTTCTCAGCAACAATTCTGCCTTGGAGTCAGCAGCAGCACTCTATTCTAGCTGTATCGCTTGGACAATCCTGTACGATATGATCTACGCCCATATGGACATAAAAGATGATGTAGCGGCAGGTATCAAGTCTATCGCTCTTCGTCATGAACACAATACAAAAACTGTTCTTTCTGCTCTAGCAGTTGTCCAAGTGGCATTGCTTGCTGCAGCGGGCGTGTCGGCTGGCGCTGGTCCTATCTTCTTTATTGGCAGCTGTGGTAGCGCGGCTCTTTCTCTTGGAATTATGATATGGAGGGTTCAGCTAAAAAATGTCCAGAATTGCTGGTGGTGGTTCAAGAATGGTTGTTTGCTCACTGGAGGTGGCATTACCATGGGTATGTTGTTTGACTATATAGCGCGTGCGACTGGTTTGGGCGGGAAGGATACAAGATCACCCCAAGTGATCACAGACGCAACTCCTAAATCCAATGGAGAGCTCAGCTGATCGGCCAATATTGTAGCATTAGATTATTGTGTTTAGACATATCTAGGACCTTGCTCTCAATGCGGCAAGGGAAGGAAATCCCCAGCTCAAATTAAGTCTATACTTAACACTCGGTGTTAGTATCTTGCTTGCGTCACTCACTTGTCGGTCTCACAGCACGCTTCGTGAGTCTCCAATAACCTAGTCACCGGGTCTTGCGTATTCTTGGAGCGAAGAGGCTCCTCGTAGTGAGCGGTCTACCACCTGATCCACTTGCGATCATCCTCTTGTTTCCGATAAGCCGGATTATTTATCGTTCCTATTACCATCGAATCCTTGGCCATAATGAGATGGCTAGACAGCCGCGGACTCGGGCAGGGTGCTACTACTGTATATCATTAGCTGCCCTGACTAAATTGCGCTAGGCACTTCAAGAGTACATAGGGTACTACAAGTGGCACCGCGGTACGGAGTACTACTTGCTCGCTGGTACCTGGAATTGGGTGCTGACAAAAGCGGAATAGAACTGAATGGTGACGTTGACCGCATGATTGGCTGCTGCTTAGTGAGCCAAGTCTTAGTAGCATGACGGGTAGTACCCAGCATTTATAATCTTACTACTAGTAGACAAAAGTATCTGATGTGCTAGCACCTCCAAAAATGTTCTCAAGAGCGGCTTTCTCGTCGGTAAGGTCAACCCATGCTTCATGCTTTATTCATGAATATCACACTCAGCTGATTACCCATGACCTTTCACAAGCTGACGCAGACCGAAACAGGCATTCCGACCGCTTTCGCGGCCACAGTCGCTGTCACTGCGACCCTATGGTGTTCAATTACCATCTACCCTTTACGCTCGACTACTCTCTTCTGAGACGAAATCGGCAATTGATAAAGCCATTGCATCTGCCCCAGTTGTCCTTTTCATGAAGGGTACCCCCGAAACTCCTCAGTGTGGCTTTTCGCGAGCAAGTATCCAGATCTTAGGCTTGCAAGGGGTTGATCCGAAGAAGTTTGTCGCATTCAACGTGCTGGAGGATGCTGAATTGCGTCAGGGTATGTCCTGGCATTGAAACTCGCAGGATCGTTGACGCTTCAATTGGGTTCACGTTCATTAACTAGTGTTTCTGTTTAGGTATCAAAGAATACTCCGACTGGCCAACCATCCCACAGTTATATTTGGATAAGGAGTTTGTTGGTGGCTGTGATATTCTGATGTCGATGCATCAAAACGGGGAGCTCGCAAAGTTGCTTGAAGAGAAGAATGTCCTGGTGGCAGCTGACTAACTCGAAGCATAGTGCTCAGGTCAAAAAAGACAA